ATGTTTAAACGCAGAGATAACTTACAAAATGACCCAATGGAAGAGGTATACATGGACTGGTTTTAGGTTTATCGTAACCATTTGATGTTGGCATGGGTGTGTGTTGCCCGCTAACCGAACTGAGAAATGGGTGGAGGCTATAGATGTCACTAAATTAACCAAGGGAGGCATGAAATATTAAAACTAACCTTTTTCACCTCCACAGCAAGGACAAGGGCCAACTCCCAAACAACGATTGCTGTCTTGGCTAAACAACAAACTTGTCGATCGTCCGGTCAAAAACTTTACAACCGACTGGAACGATGGGACAGCCATTGGTGCGCTAGTTGATGCTTGCGCCCCTGGTTTGTGTCCAGATTGGCGACAATGGGAGCCAAAACAAAACCTCCGCAATGCCAGAGAAGCAATGAATGCTGCTGAACAATGGCTTGATGTACCTCAGCTGATTCGGCCGGAAGAAATGATCAATCCTCGTGTGGATGAGAAGGCAATGATGACGTACTTGAGTCAGTTTCCCAGTGCAAAACTGAAAGAAGGTGCACCGCTTCGACCAAAATCAACTCCAGAATTGGTCAGAGCTTACGGACCAGGTGAGTGCTCCTTGGATAAAGAATAGTGTCAAACTATCAGGCAGACAAGCGTCTTTGGGACACAACGTGTCATTTATTTTTGTACTGGACAAATGAATGACATTGAGGAACGTTTTCTGAGATATAGCAGCACAGGATGTCTTCTAGAAATTTGTCGACCATTCTCTCAAGGTTCCCTTTTGGAGATTGTTGTGATTGCCCTTGGCCTTGTTGAAAGGAAGCGTAATTTAGACAAGTAGAAATGTTGCGGCAACGAGGACCCTTTGAAAAATGGAAGCTGATGAATTCTTGAGTGAAAAACACAAAGACAGTGGGACATATAGCATGTACGTGTAAATATGCCATGATAACAAAGTTCTGCGGGACAATTTCGATGGCTCTTGCTCATGCATCGGTAATTGCACTCTAGTAAATCAGTTTTCACTATTATTATTGACTGTGTTTCAGACTCCAGTTATCTTTCAGCTACGTGCTGACCGCTTATTGACGAAGTTTTGGGTGGATTTCCCGAAAATTTTATCTTTATCAGGTTTTCAATAAGACACTGGTTCCGCATCTCCAAAAGCTCGCCTTCGTTCTTGTTCCAAACGTTGGATCTTTTATTCCTCAATCCTCAGAGTCCAGCTGTTTCATCCTATTTCCCTGTATCAGGTTGTTCAGATAAAATCTCAGATGATGGCCTTAGTTGCAGATATGGTCTTTGGACCAATGCATTGACACAAATAAGACACCGGGAACCCACCCAAAATCACGTAGATCTGAAAATGAAGGTTTTATACTTCCTACGATATTAATCCCCTGTAAGTCTCATTCTGACAAACATATAACTCTCCCAGTTGATTGACGTGCTGTTCTGTTTATTCTCTTGGGCAAAAAAATCGTTACTTCCGTCCAGTTTCATGTTGAAATTCTGAGTAACATTCAATAGCTCAACACATATCAAGGTCAACTGCGACACTCTCATGCGGATATCAGCCTGAGTGACAGGGCTGTTCAAGTGAATATGTGCGGTAGATCAGAACCTACATTAGGGTTATGTCTAGCTTTAGAAGACTTGACGGACAAGTGGCACCGTCATTCAGCTTCACTTGTCGATCATTTCTACCATTAAATCTAGCTTATTACTTATCGTACAACAGCTTGGACAAGAGGGAATAACACCCAAGCAAAGTTTTCTGTGACTAATTCCTATTTGCCCATATGAAGTCTTTATTAAAGTATGATGCTCCGTCCAACTGAGTTTCGGGATCAGACCAAACCTATTTTACCCAGTTGATGGAGTGAATATTTCGGAGATAAAAGGATAAGGTGTGATGAAACGTCCACCCAAAATGACAGGGTTTACATGTTAACACATGCGAACGTGTAAATCATGTGTTGTATTCCTTAAATTAATATTAATTAATTAAATTTATTTATTATTAATTGGTTTCAGACAAATAATTCCTTTGGTAAAAGTAATCAGGCACACTCGTAGCAGACTACTGGTAAGGCTGATGAAGACTCTTCGATGACCGATGACCAGCTCTTTGCTCTTCTTTGGGCTGATCAGGCAAGCACAGTCTCCGAGTTTCCATCAATCTTATGTTTTAACTGAACCCAGTTTTAACTAGAATGGAAACTGGGGGGCTGCGCCTATCTGATTCGCCTCACAAACCGGTGGTGGGCTGTAGGAGAGTTTCAGCAACCTCATGTGTAGTCTGTTACGTCTGCAATGAAAAATAGTGGAACAAATGAAACAAGAAGTGTCCTGGCGCAGCACATTCACTTGTAGAAGAACATTATAAACAAGAGATCCAGCTCAGTCCCATGTGTCTCTAGTAAAAACAAAATTGGTATGCAAGCGAGTGTACTCGTCGAAAGAGGTATATTGTTGATGTTGTTGCTTGTCTCATACACGTTTGAAAAGAAATATTGGTTATAAAAAATCCAGTCTTCTCAAATAAGGTTATTTTAAGACGGAATATGTGACCCAGCGAATTCGATACGTTATATAGTACTTAGCATACTGTGAACAAATGTGTATTAGACCTAAATTCTTACCTCACATCTTGCGTGATCTCCGCTTTCGATAGAAAATTACTTTTGGCCGGAAATCTGGTTACTTTTCTGACGTATTCCTGTGACACTTCATTTGTATAATCTACTATTCAAGACCGCGAAACTTCAGAATAAATTCTTGGGAAAGCATGGGGAATTCATAGTCTTAGTTTTTTTCCTTGTAGTGTTGCTACCACATTCAAAACGAAGCACTCAGGCCTCAGTGTTACTTGTTGTGAGACTTCCTAACGGGTTTCCTTCACGTACTGTATTTACCGAGGTTCAGCAGTAGAATTCCCCACCAGTCTGAGTGGAAAAAGCTAGCAGATATACTTACTTATATACTTCCAACGGCATTTTTGGCGTGACGCATACTACCATTAGGAGGTAAGCGTACAGGTACCAC